CTAGGGCCCGGTAAGCCTTTAAGGCCCCCAGAGGCCCGTAGTAAAGGCCTGAAACACTAAAAAGTACTATCTCAATATAAATATTTAAACATTCAGCCCATGTTTATAGGAAAATAAATCTCAAGATTTTATTAAATCTCGGCCCAAATTTATCAGGCTACACACTTCCACAGTTTGGGCCCAATTAACAATACACCACATTTTTAATATGGCTCACATAATTATTTGTCTATGTTAATACGACGACTAATTGTATACAATTCTATAAAACTGCGGAGTCCACTAACTAATAGTATATATAGATTTTTTATACATCTAGATACATAGCAAAATATTTTATTGGTCTAGGAAAATTTTCTTTTTAGCTCTGCCGCGAAGGAACATAGGCTTAACCGAATTTAAAGAGAAAACTTACTTCCTTGAAAAATTAACAAGATATATTGAGCTTTCTAAGAGTAAACTATTATTTGCACAAACACACACATTCAACACGAAATGTGTTAAATACATATCTAGTCATCCGACTTAGTTATAGCTCACGCAGCCAGTCACACAAATGACATGTCACCAGCCTTCACAAATAAATATCACCTTCAATAAATCACCATCACGTTGGAAATTAGGTTTCAGTTTGGAGTCACGAAAACCCCGATGAGCCGTCCTCCACATGGCTCATCCTCTCACGTGATGCACCAGGAGCCGATCCCCCATACTTGGCCGACCGGTCTCTAATCCTCACTTGACCAGTCCTTCTCATTGTTTTTTTCCTTCTCTCTTTCTTCCATTACCAACAGGAGGGCAACCCGGTGGTCTCCCATCCAATCCTGATCATCAAGCGCTACAACAGGAGGCCACCCTGTGGGCTGCAATCAAATCTAGATTTTCAGGTGCGCAACAACAAGCGGCCATCCTGTGGTTTCAGAATAAACAGAATTATCAAGTGCACACGGGGGCGCCGATCTCCCATTTACCCGGCTAACAGAAACAGAATCAGGATCCATATAACAGAATCAGAATATAACGGAAATCAGAATCAGGATCCATATAACAGAAACAGTCTCATAAACCCATGGTGACCCACTTCATCCCAATTCCACACAAGCAAAGCACAGCAATATCACAACACAACTAATCAAACATTGCAATCGAATGCAAATCAAATGCAGACATTATTAAATCAATCAGACATCGTAAGTGCAATGCACAATTTTAAACATCCAAAATCAATGCAAATAAATAAATAAATAAATAGTATTAACAATAAAACAACAATAATTAAAATTAAATAACAATAAATACAATAATAAATGAAAATAAATAAAATAAAGATTGTAAATAATTAAATGAATAATAAAGATAATAAAACATCAGGGCACTTATTATTTATTATGTACCAAATATAGAACTTAATCTAAATAAGCTTATTAATTTATGTTGTTAATTAAAACTAGTCTAAGTTCTATTCGAAATTTCAAGGCAGCACCTCCCCTAAAAATTGGAAATTCTAACCTGTTTAGATAAACACAGTATTATTATATATTTATCAATCAAATACACACAGCCCATCCGTCTGGCAATCAATCAACTTAATTCCCATCCTCCTTCAATAGGCAACGTTCATAGCTAACAAACCATTTAAATCGTCTATCCATTATACATTACTTTTTATACATACATACATTTACATATATATATATATATTATTATATATATATATATATATTACACCCTCTAATACAACACAAAAAACTCAAATGGTTTTTGATGCCAACTTGCAGAAATAATAAATGTTTACTATACTAGGCTACAAATTTCCAGAAATAAATTTAAATTGAAATAATTGCTTTGCCAAATCTAAAAGTCTAGGACTTCATTGATTTAAATTTTCATATTTTACACACTAGCTATTTTACACACTAGCTAACTCACTACCCTACAAGAACTTCATTTACAACTTCAAATACCCATCCCAAACATTATAATTCAAAGAACCAACTAATTAACTACTGCTAGCTCATGGAATTCAAAATTTTCTATTTAATACCCCCAAATATATCCACTGGTTTGCACATAACTTATTAAAATTCAATTTATAACTCATTCAAAATGGAAATAGTTCAATAATTTCTTCATAGGATATTAAGAACTTGAGCATATAGCTAATTAGTTATTTTCAACCTAAAGAACCCTAAATCCTTCATAAAGATTTATAATAGATGCAATACCCTAACCATCCCAATATACGAATCAGTTTATATACCAATTTAAAGAGCAAAAATTCGAAATTCCTAATCACATTCACATTCACCTAAATAGTAGCTAGAATATTAATTTCTACAATTAGCTCAAGCATTGGTGCCCAATGTTGCTGTCATAATCATTGCTATATCTATTCTTAAATTGAAATCCCCTTGTTCATGCGCTAACTTATTCCATAATTTAGCTAATAATTAAAAACTTAAACTAGAGAATCAATTTAGTAGGAGCTAAAGTCTAAATTTTATGCAATAGTTTGATTCATGATTCAAAACCTTCATCTTTGATCAAGGGAACTCATAAACTAAAATTGTTGAAGGTTTGGAATTGACTTACCAGCTGCGATACACGCCGGAAATCGAAATTTTTCTAGTTAGAAAACAATCGGCAGCGGCTCCTGTTCAAAAGCCAATTCTGTCGATGCTAACTTGGTCGGAAATGAATAGGATGGTGGCTGGAGAAAATCTAGAGATGAGGAGAGGTTCCTGTGATGAGCTGGTGTCGTCAGAAAGTCGAGGAGGCAGGAGACTCGACGCGATTCCCGATCGAAGGAAGTTCACAGCTCTCCTGCGCCTTTCTGCTGTGCTCCAAGGAAACGAAAGAAGGAGAGAGGAAGGGGAATGCCGCGAACTGCTGCGGCGAGAGGCGACGACGAGGAGGCGACGACGGAGAGGCGCTGGTTCATCAGGCGTCGGAGAAAGAAATGAGAGGAGGAGAAGGGGAGGGTGGCGTCCGACGGCTGGAGAAGAAGGGACGGAAGAAAGAAGAAAAAGAAAGAAAGAAAAAAAAAAAAAGAAAGAAAAGAAAAGAAACGAGAATTTTAAAAGCTTGCTAGGACCATTCCGGTTCGATCGAACAGGTTTTGTCTTATTTTATGATTTGGCTCAATTTTGTTGGTTTTGTCGAGTTTTTTCGCTTGGTTTTTCAAAAAAATCGAATTTGGTTTACGGGTCCAGTTTAGCAATAATAAAATACTTGGCTGGGTATAATCTCCATTGAATAATAAAATACTGGCTGGTATAATCTCATTGGTTGAAATAAAAAATTTAGTTTTTAAATGAAAATTCTACGAAATTAAATTTTCGGGTCGTTTCAGTTATATAGACAGTTTATAATATTATATTATATATGAAAAATTAACTTAATTAAATTTAAATTGTTAAAAGAAAACTTAAAATTGATTGATAAGTAATTTTATTTTTATGAAAATTCGATTGTCAAATTATAGTAATATTTTGTTATTATAAATATGTTCTTTCCTTTAATTATTGAAATTTTTATTATAAATATATTTTTTCTTTAACAATTTATTGAATTATTTTATTAGTTCATAAAATATTCTTTTTTCTATTTTGTGCATTTTCTTAGAATTTTATAATATAAATTGTTCATAATATTATAATTTTAGAAAAATTAATAAAAATTAATATATATACATTAATAGAAAATTATTTATTTAAATTAAATTAAATTTATTTGTAACGAGTACAAATAGCATACAACACACGTTCGAAAAAGTTATATATAAGTGAGAATGGTGGGAGAATATTGAGATTGCCAAAAAACGTCCATACTAAATTATGATCGACAAAAATATCACTAATTACATTAATTTTATTGGTTGAAAAATAAAGATAATTTTATTATTAACTTTCTATTTAAATCTAACTTCTATTAGATAACATAAGTATATTATATATTATAGAAGGCATATCTTGAATATGGTAAGAATAAAATATCTTTAAGAATTTAAATTTTATTAGTTGAAAAATAAATATAATGTAATTTTAAATAGTTAAATTAATTTTCCATCAAATCTAAATTCTGTTAGATAAATTAAAAAATTATATTATATATTAAATAAGGCATATATTAAATAGGTAAGAATATAATATTTTTAAGAATTTTAATTTTATTAGTTAAAAAATAAAGGTAACTCTCTTTGAAAAAAACAAGAAAAAATAAAGGTAATTTAAATTTGGTTGGTTATATTATAATATATGAAGAATATAATATATTTTAATTATTATTTAATAAATCTTTAGTTTAATTAGTTCTATTTGTTTCCTACAAGTAACTTATTTTACAAATAAATAAATAAAATTTATTATTATTTATCAAGGAATATATTATAATATTTGTTATTTGTCAAAAAGAAAAATATGATCCACTAGAAATATATATAAAATTATGATATAGCACATCATATTAGTGAAATATATACCATGTTAAAAGAATTTTTTTTTCTAAAAAAAGCGACCATAAAATTATAAAATTAATTATAAACAATAATGGCTATCTATATATAATATTATATTATTCTATAATATATTTTCAAAACTTAATTAATAAACCAAGTTAAACCTTCATTTTGAGAAAATTTTCTCACGTAATATCTTTTTTGCACTTTATTTTATTTATTTTTATTTTAGATGTTTATTTACTTTATTGCTTTATACTTTTAAATGATATCATTTTGAAAATTAGTTCTATTGTGGTTGATTTTGTGTTGTTATTTGCTTAATAAGTCTAAGCCTCAACGAAACTATAACCAAAAAAATAGACAACAGGCAATGATTTCTTTTGGAATGTAAGAATTAATAACTTTAAAGACAATAAGAACAAGAATAGGAATAATAAAGTTGAGAAAATATAACGTAAGACACCACGTCAGATTCCAATTAAGTAAATGAGTGTAGGACCACCGTCCCTTATAATTGGGCTGGGCAGGCACGTCCTTATCCCCAATAATGTTCATCCCATGTGCGTACATATATACCAACAAACCTTACCCTCAAGTAAGACATGGAACAACCAGGAATGGAGTTGGACAACAAGCAAATTGCAGACGATGAGAAGGTTAAGAAGCTCGGAGGCATCAAGACAATGCCATTCATTCTTGGTGAGTTTTACCCTTTTTTTTTTTTTTTTTTTTTTTTTTTTTTTTTTTTTTTTCCCTTTTTTTTTTTTTTTTTTTTTGTTTTTTCTTTTAACTTAAAGACGTGGTTAATAAATTTTGTTCCAAATAATAACTTCCTAAGTAATTGTGGCTTGATTTTTATAATTTTGTTGTTATTATTAATGAAAATTTGATTCTAGTTGATGTTTTCAGTGTTATTAAGCTTAATACTTTTGTAAATTGAAACGAAATACAGTTGAAAATAGTGAAATCCGTTTTTAACTTATTTTCACGCCAAAAATGCATTTTATTACATTACATATCAATAAACGTATTAGAACAATTAACTTGACGAACGATTAACTGTAATTATTTAGTAAAATTTTAGTAATGGTTATTATTAAAAAATAAAATGATTGCTAAAATTATAATTATTACACCTGGCTTGTGTTCCGGCCAATCTAAGCTATTTTTATTAGATAATAATTATAAATAAAACACCACATGAAAGTATTAATTTAAAAAAAATATTATCAATTATTTTATAAAATTAATATATATTTTAAATATAATAAATATAAATAAAATAAAATAATAAAAAAGTGAAATTATTTACAAGTGACCTCAAATTCAAATATCACCCGTGAATGCTTTCTTAGTTGAGTTAAAAAAAACCATATGTATGATCATCAGATTATCGAATTATTCTTTTTTTTTTTCATATAATTTTAATATTACTTATTGGTTTAAAAATATACATATATTTAAAATATTTAAAAGTAAGAAAAAAAATAAAATTATAAAACTACATTAAAAAAATAGTTTCTCCTATAATCATACTTTTGTATACATTAAACAATTAATATTTACAAATATATATTTTAGGAATGTATTATTTTCTTCTTTCTTTTTCTTCTTCTCTAATTTGTTTGCCCACCACACTTTCTTTCTCATTCTTTCTCTAATGTTGGATAGCCGTTCCAAAATCTCCCTGCAACCAAAATCCCAAAAGGGACCTCGTGAGATAAAATTTTACTAAAGGAAATAAACACATGCAAGCTTGATCTCCAATGCTTGTTTAATTGTAAAACTTTATTAAGTTCTCAACAACCTTTTCTATCTTTTTGAAATAGTGAAATTCTTAAAACATGCAAGCAAAAAGCAACCTCAAATATTTAAATATTAATACAAAAAATTATATAAGTTAATATATAATGTACAAAACTCCACTGGTTAAAAATTTAATGAAAAAAAATAACCTCACCATCTTGTGTGCATAGTGAGTTGCTAAAATTAAATATTACACCTAGGGCTTGTGTTCCGGCCAACTTCCTCAAGACCCCCCAAAACTCATACATTCCTTTGGTCCTAAACCTCATGCCAAAACACAATTAATCAAAGACCAAAAGAAACAAATAAAGTAATAATTATATTTTTATAAGAGAATCCAATACCTAGTAGAATACAATTGCTACACATTTGCCATTACACCCCATCTATACCAATAAATTCCAGAGATAAATGAGAGATGACATCATTTTAGCATTCTACATTATAAGAAGTTTCAAACTCACAATTAGGCCGTTACGATCTTAAAAGTTAATTTTCCAGATACAAAATTTGTATTTACTTAGAAATTCAGGGAGAATGCTTGCTCGTAATTATTAAATTAATAATAACTAATTAAAAATTAATGTATTTAATATGACCTCAACACAAAGAAAAACAAATAAAAAAGATTAGACGATATGTTTTAACTCTAATTCACAAGCGCTTCGTAAGATCTTTTAGCTAGTATTTAGTCCTAAAATTCCACCAGCAAAACCCCAGTATATCTGATTGAGTAAGGCTTATAATTCCCTACGTAGTTATACAGAATAAAATCAAGCATGGATAAAATCAAATAAGTATTAATTTATTAATATATAGCAGAAGTTGATTGTTATGATGCCTTCTAACAAGCATAACATTAATTATAATTCATTTTTATTCATGCCTTAATAGCAGAAGCTTTAGGGTTAGCGGAGCCATTTATCTGTAGAGCCTTTCAATTGCAAAGCCACTCGAGTTTTGATATCGACACAAGGTGGCATCCTTGTTAATGATCGAATGTGTTTTTGCGCATAACAACAATTCGATAAACACAAAATATTATAGAGATCCCAGCAACCATATATGAAAGCACCAAGGAGTGGGCAACTCAATTGATAGATCTAGAAAAAGAAGCACCCCGCATTTCTTCACCAATAATCAATTTTAATGTTCATGCAAAGGGTGATTAATATAATCTGAGAAAAAGAAGGCTTAGTATTTGAGCAATTTAAAATGAAAATATTAGGTTAAAACATAAAAAGCTGATCCGTCAAATTCCACAAAAAATATTCACCGGTAAGCAAAACTAAAAGAAAAAAAATATTAACAGAGACTAAAGATTTGCAATTTGAAGGGAGTGCGAAATTAAGGACTGTTGCCTCAAAGAAATATCGAGACGAATCGAGATAAGCTTCGATAGTTAAAATGATGTAGTGATTTTCTTATGAGAGAAGAAAGAAGCGAGAGTGAAGAAGTATATATAATATATATTATGGGTATTGACTGTGGAGGGCGTAAGGAAAAAGCAAGGTAGATAGGAGACAGGAATTTAAGAGGCGAATAGAGTATAGGAATAATTCAGAGATACCAGTGAGAGTTTTACAAAATTGTAATTATGTACACATAAAAAATAATATCCTCTAATATTCATATATAACATGCAGTATAATGTAATAATTAAAAAATTTATTAAACATATTAACTATCTATATATTTTAAATCCCAAATCCTTTAAGGGGAATATAATCCCAACTCGGTATTGCTCCCTCTAAAAATATCCTAAAAAAACAATAATGCTACTGCCAATATATAAGAAAACCCGGGAATGCTTAAAAATCTAAAACAATAATTTGCTACTGCCACACCCTTCTTCTTATTAAAAATAAAAAATAAAAAACAGAAAACAAAACTGCATTTCAGACAGAACTGGGGTCTTATCACACCTCATTAGCCAAAAAGCTGACAAGCATGTGGTGAAGAGATTCATTCTGTGGTTATAGCGGCGGTGATTGTTATCATTCTCTATTTTTCTTCTTTAAAAACTCTCTTTTTTCTTATTTTATTGTCTTGGAATCCAAAGAGAAAATTGCAAGAAATTTTTAGAGAAAAAAATTTAAGACGACAAAAAATTTTGAAAATGGAAAGAAAAAGATAAATTGAATGAATTTCTATATTTGATTTCATTTTTATTGTTTAGACAATCAATTGTAGATTTTATTTATAACTTATAAGCAAATAATGCAAGACTAATGATTTTTTTTTTTAGCAAATGAAATATGTGACAGATTTGCAGCCACCGGATTTCATGCCAATATGATAACATATTTGACACAGCAGCTGAACTTGCCTCTAGTTAAGGCCTCTAATACTCTCACCAACTTCGGTGGAACGGCTAGCTTCACGCCCCTTATCGGTGCTTTGATTGCCGACTCTTTTGCAGGCCGCTTTTCGACCATCATCGTCGCTTCCGTTATCTATGAACTGGTATCCTCTTAATAATGACTTTTACATTCTGTTTGAAAAATAAAATAAAATAATGAGAATTCTTGATTTTTTTTTCATAGTTATATTCTACTATTGTGTTTGGAAGCATGGAAGGAAAAGAAATATTTTCTTTATTTTGAAAGGGTAAAATCTTAAATGAAAAAAAAAAATTCAATGTTAAAATTGAGAATTATATTTTTATTTATTTCCACATAATAAAACATAAGTTATTTTAAAATATTTAGATAATTTATAAAAATAGGTGAAATTTCAAATTTCTTTCATTATTCTTTTTCTAAATTAAGGGGATTCCAAATATATTATTACGCGGGATATAAAGTAAGTGAAATATTATTTTAAAATATTTAGATAATTTATAAAAATAGGTGAAATTTCAAATTTCTTTCATTATTCTTTTTCTAAATTAAGGGGATTCCAAATATATTATTACGCGGGATATAAAGTAAGTGAAATATTATTTTAAAATATTTAGATAATTTATAAATTGCATTATCCAAACAAGGAAAAGATTTTTTTCTAACTATTTTCGTGATTATTTTCTTTTTTTCATCCAAACAAAAGCTTTAATCCTTAATAATTGTAGTTATCTTTTACTTAAAAGAAACATATATGCCTTCTGTCACAGGGAATGATCAGCATCACCGTATCAGCAGTGCTACCATCACTCCGGCCACCTCCATGTCCAACCCAACAAAACTGTAAAGAAGCCTCAAGCTCCCAGTTATGGGTCCTTTACATGTGCCTTCTACTCACCTCTCTTGGCACTGGTGGTATTAGGCCTTGCGTGGTTACCTTTGCTGCAGACCAAATCGATATGACCAAATCAAGTGTTAATTCTCGCAAATGGAACTTCTTCAACTGGTACTATTTTAGCATGGGAATGGCAACCTTAACTGCCTTGACTATTGTAGTTTATATACAAGATAATGTGGGTTGGGGTTGGGGCCTTGCAATCCCAACTATAGCCATGGCGTTATCTATTATAGCTTTTGTAGTTGGTTCTCCACTTTATATCAAGTTAAAACCAGGTGGTAGCCCTTTGATCAGATTGGCTCAAGTGATTGTTGCTGCTGTGAAGAAGAGGAAAATAGCATTGCCAGATGACCCTACGCTTTTGTACCAGAATAGAGAGCTTGATGCTTCTATTTCTGTCAATGGAAGGCTTTTACACACCAATCAATTCAAGTACGTTTTATTAAGTCTTAATCTAATTTAAAACCAATGGAGCAGTTATAAGTTTATGCACAAAGTTCAAAAAACACCAATCTTTACTTAGTTATTTGGAGCCAGTTTGATTAAATATGTTGGTTAATGGGAAATACTTTATAGATCATGATTCATTCATAGACCATCTCACATGGATGCATTCCATGCATATGGATCCATCCTCGAAAATCATTTCAAAAGAGGTGGTATAAAATGAACCATGGTCTATCTAACAATAGTGGAGTACTTATCATGTATCTCATCCTTAAAAATTTCAAGTGAAAAAAGAAAAACAAAAGCAACTTTAATTCATATTCTGCCTAGTTAGCAGTAGACTGCATAAATTTGTCCAAAGCAGAATTAGAATCAATGCTTTAATTTAATCTCAATACCATTTATACCTGCAGGTGGCTTGATAAAGCTGCAATTGTAACAAAAGATGATGAGCAAACAGATTCGAAGACGCTAAATCTTTGGAGGCTGGCTACGGTCCACAGAGTTGAGGAACTAAAATCCATCATTAGAATGTTACCCGTTTGGGCATCTGGGATCTTACTTATAACCGCTTCTTCACATCTGCATAGCTTTGTCATCCAACAAGCTCGCACTATGGATCGTCATTTGTCGCATTCTTTCGAAATCCCACCAGCGAGCTTATCCATTTTTAGTATTTTAACGATGATGATAGGGCTCGTCTTATACGAGCGCCTTTTCGTCCCTTTTGCTCGTCGTTTCACTGGAAATCCCGCAGGCATCAGTTGCCTGCAGAGAATGGGAATAGGCTTTATTGTTAACATAATTGCAACTATTATTTCAGCATTAATTGAGAGCAAAAGAAAAGCAGTGGCTGCCCATCACAACTTACTGGATAATCCTAAAGCCATTATTCCAATAAGCGTGTTTTGGTTAGTTCCTCAATTTTGCCTTCATGGAGTAGCAGAAGTTTTCATGTCTGTTGGGCACTTGGAGTTTCTTTATCATCAATCGCCAGAAAGCATGAGAAGCACAGCTGCAGCTCTGTATTGGATAACTATAGCAATGGGAAATTATATCGGTACACTTATTGTCTCTCTAGTTCACAAATATACTGGCCAAGAAAATAATTGGTTGCCTGATACCAATCTTAACAGGGGAAGATTAGATTATTATTATTGGCTTGTAACAGGTGTCCAAGTCATAAATCTTGTTTATTATGTAATTTGTGCTTGGTTGTATACTTATAAACCCTTAGAAGAGGCCAAGGAAGAAGATAATGAAGAGATAAGGATCGGATATAAAAAGTCGAATGATAAAAATGGGGGGAGAGAGGTGGAACTCAATAGAAATGAGATAGTTAAGGTTGTATAACTTCTCACGATGAGTATGAAATTTACAATAAATGGAATCCCAAGAATTTTAATTTAAAAAAGGTGTCTTGTTCTTTATTTTCATTTTTATTTTGAAATTTTCCCTTCGTATGTTCAAGTTATGTTTTAAATACATGTCCTTATGTTGAGGGTGTCGTAATTGACCACCTTCGCCGTCCTTAGATAAAGGATCTTAACCACCTTCGGCATCCCCCTCCTTGCGGTTAAAGTAATGACTTCGGGCATGGCCAGCTCCCATAGTGTGACGGGCGGTGTGTACAAGGCCTGGGAACGAATTCACAGCCGTATGACTGACTGGTGATTACTAGCGATTCCAGCTTCATGCAGGCGAGTTGCAGCTTGCAATCCGAACTGAGGATGGGTTTTTGGAGTTAGCTCACCCTCGCGGGATTGACCCTTTGTCCCGGCCATTGTAGCATGTGTGTCGCCCAGAGCATAAGGGGCATGATGACTTGACATCATCCTCACCTTCCTCCGGCTTATCACCGGCAGTTTGCTCAGTCTTTCAAACTCAACAGTGGCAACTAAGCACAAGGGCTGCGCTCATTGCAGTACTTAACCCAACACCTTACGGCACGAGCTGACGACATCCATGCACCACCTGTGTCCGCGTTCCCGAAGGCATCCTTCCTCTTTCAAGAGGATTCGCGGCATGTCAAGCCCTGGTAAGGTTCTTCGCTTTGCATCGAATTAAACCACATGCTCTACCGCTTATGCGAGCCCCCATCAATTCCTTTGAGTTTCATTCTTGCGAACGTACTCCCCAGGCGGGATACTTAACGCGTTAGCTACAGCACTGCACGGGTCGATACCCACATGGCTGTCTACCGCTTATGCGAGCCCCCCATCAATTCCTTTTGAGTTTCATTTCTTAGCGAATTCTTGCGAACGTACTCCCCAGGCGGGATACTTAACGCGTTAGCTACAGCACTGCACGGGTCGATACGCACAGCGCCCAGTATCCATCGTTTACGTTGGATCCCTCTTGTTCCTGTTTATTCCCCTTCGTTTCGGAAGTTGTTTCTATTTCTACATCTGTTTCTTCCTCCCTTTCTTCCGATGAGTGTTCTAGTCGACCTAGAGGCGATGACTTATTTAAAATATATATATGTAGGCTCTATATGTCATGCTATGCAAATGGGGTATTCTATAGTGTACTGGGCCATAAGATGTAATACAATTAAAAAATAATGGGTATAAAGGAGAACACATATATAAAGGAGAACACATATATATATATATATATAGTATATATATATAATAATATATATATTATATATATAAAACTGAAAAATAAAAATAAGTTTGAAAGTTAATTTCTTTGCTTTTAATTATTCTATTTTGCTCTTTCTAGAGATTTTTTTGTTTTTTAAATTTTTCTAATGTTGTGGTAGAATGATTTAAATATTTAAACTAAAAATTTATATATGAAAACTGAAATAAAAATAAAGTTTGAAAGTTATTTCTTTGTTTAATATTCTATTTTGCTCTTTCTAGAGATTTTTGATTTTTTTATTTTTCTATGTTGTGGTAGAATGATTTAAATATTTTAACTAAAATTTTATTATAAATTATCAGTATTGATTATTTAAAGAGTTTATTTTTATGTGTACATAATTACTTTTTGTAAAATATGGTATTCTGAATTATCCTTCTCTATTACGCCTCTACAATTTCTGTCTCCTTCTTTCTTACGCCTCCACAGTTCAACTCTCGCTCTTTCTCTCTCTAAAAATCAACTCATCTATTTAACTATCGAAGCTCTCTCATTCTCTCGATATTTCTTGAGGCAAGTCCTTAATTTCCACTCTTCCAATTGCAATCTTAGTCTCTGTTAATATTTTTTTCTTTTAGTTTTCTTTTTATTTTTACTAATTTTTCATTTAATTGGCTCAAATACTAACATTCTTTTCTCAATTATATTATACCTTTGCATGAACAATAAATTGATATATTGTGAAGAATGCGGGGTGCTTCTTTCTAGATCATACATGAGTTGCCTCCTTGTGCTTCAATAATGGTTCTGGGGATCTCTATAATATTTGTTATGATTGTTGTAGCAAAAACAACATTGATCATTACAAGGATGCCACCTTTGTCGATAATCAAAAACTCGAGTGCTTTGCAATTGAAGGCTCTACAGATAAATGGCTCCGCAACCCAAAGCTCTGCTATTAAGGCATGAATAAAATGATATAATTATGTTACTGTTAGAAGCATCAAACAACAACTTCATGCATATAATAATTAATATCCATCTTGATTTTTCAGATAACTACGAGGGATAAGCTTACAACAGATATACTAGGGGTTTTGCTGGTGAATTTAGGAATAAATACTACAAAGTCTACGACGCTGTGAATTGTTAACTCTTCTTTTTATTTGTTTTCTTTGTGTTGAGCTATAAATCATTATTTTTATAGTATTATTAATATTACGAGCAAGCATTCTCCGATTTCTAAGTATAATTTACTGAAAATTTTAGACGTACCCAATGTGATTGCAACTCAATGTGAGTGCAACTGATGCATTCTCATATTTGGATTATTGGTATAGGTGTAATGCAATTGTAGCAATTGTATCACAGTTTGGATTCTCAAAACTTATTTGTTCTTTTGTTTGATTACATTGTGTTTTGCATGAGTTTGACCATGGATGTAGAGTTGGGTTGGACACTATGAACAAGATGGTGAGGTTATTTTTTCATTAATTTTTAAACAGTGAGTTGCAACATTTATATAATACTATATATGATTAATATTTTAATTTTGAGTTGCTTTCTCATGTTAAGATTTACTATTTCAAAAAGATAGAAAAGTGTTGAGAACCTAATAAAGTTTTACCAATTACAAGCATTGAGATCAAGCTTGCATGTGTTTTCCTTTAGTAAATTTTTATCTCACGAGGTCTTTGATTTGGTTTGCAGGGAAAGTTTGACGCAAACAAATTAGAGAAGAAGAGAAAGAAAGTGTGGTGCAAACAAATTAGAGAAGAAGAAAAAGAAAGAAGAAAATAATACATTCCCTAAAATATATATGTATATTAATTTGTTTATGTTATCAAGTAGGATAGGAGACTTATTTTTTTAATGTAGTTTATAATTTTTTTTTTTTTTACTTTTAATTTTTAAATAATTTTTTAAATAAGTCAAATTAAATTATATGAAAAAAAAAGAATAATCTCAAACTGATGTTACATATGGTTTTTTTAATCAAATAATTGAATGGTTTTAATGAATTGATAGTATTTTGTTTCATATCAGATTAACACATAATGAATGGTACTGGATCATTATATTGAATCAATTTTGTATTCACATTTCAAAACTTCTACATGGTTAGTATTTTTCTAAATTATCATGTAACTATTAATATTATTTTTTGTAGAGAAAAATTCAATTAATTCACTCATGACATTGTAGACCTTTACAATGTTATTAATGGCATTGCACACAAATTTTATCTTCAGAATATCATAGAATATTAAATAATCAATCATTTTTAAGTAAAGATGAGGACAATTTATTATTATTTTAAGATTTTATTAGAAACACACTTTCAATTAGGTTTTAACATGAAGTTAATAATTAATTAATACCCACGCGCGAAGCATGAAATTATGATTAGCAAGCTAGAAGGGGAAGGGAATTGCTTGCATTTAAGGAGGAAAGTCAAATAAGTAATTGCGAGTGAGGAAATTGTGGAAAAATTATCAATTTACTAAAAAAGCTATAGAACGAGCTCAGGAAAAAAAAAAAAAAAAACCAATTGCATAACTGGAAGATTGAGACGTAGCTAAGAAAGAAATCTCATAACAATATTGAAGCTAAAAGATTCGCTATCAAGGTACATATTGCAATGCATTATTAAAATCATAGTTTGACAAGCTTTAATCTCTATATTAATTATTTTGAATTGAAAGAAGCTTAATTAATTGTAATAATTCAACGATGCGTACTTAATGAACTATTTTGTAAGGAAATTAATCAGCTAACTAATCTTGTGTTCAATGAATTTAAATTGAATAACTTGCTTAAAATATAATGGAAGCCAACTCTTAAGGGGTGTGTAGGCAGGGTAGTGGAGGGAAGCTATAATGCACATCAATTCGGTAAATAGCAAGTTGAATGTGTTTGTATATGAGTAGCTGATTTTTTATGCTATTTGTTTGTAAATGTGATTTAATGATATCCAGGAAGATGTTGCTAAATAAGCAATAACAAGAAAAAAAAAAAAATTTTTGTTTACTTGTCCTTTTTTTTTTTTTTTGGGATAATTTACCCACTAATCATGGAATCACTAATCATTGGGTTGGTTTAGCCACTTTCTCCTGCAACCTTTTTGCACTTTTTTTGGTATTTTTTTTTCCCAAATTTGACAAATTGTTTTGATTTTTATTCCATTAAAAGACACCTTCAGAAAATTAAAATCATTAATTATTAATTATAGTTTTATTATCGTAGTCTATATTTTTACATTAAATTTTATATCAAATTTAATGAGTATTAATTAAAAGTAAATTTAATCGATTATCCTTTTAACGAGAAAGAGTAATTAAAATTCGATCAAATCCATCTAAAATCTCATCATGTGTTAGGTGTGGTAACTACCGTATCTTTTTAAATTGAAATGATTTAATTATTTTTTAAATCTCATGAAAAATAAAAAAAAAAAAGTCAAATTTATCATAATAGTGTAGTATCCAGTTTAGATTTTTTAAAATTTAAAATTTAAAAAATAGAGTTTATTAATACCATAAATTCTTAAATATAGTTTATTAAAAGTTTTAAATAATTAACTAATAAGTGATCAGCGAGTATTGCTAGTCTGAATGTCAACACAACTTACCAATTCGAAAAAAATGTAAACATTCTACATAATTTTAGGAATAATAAAAAAAAAACTCTCCCTCTCCCCCCTTTTTTTCATCCCTATTAATTATTAAAAATAATTATCACAAATTAACCTTAAAATGGAGTTTGGTTACAGAAAATGTTACTTTCTAATATATTAATTTTAATATATAGGACTACTAATTAGAA